ACACCAGCGACATGTCTGAGCACGAGGTGAGGGCTGCCCTCGAGGCTGCTGCTCCTCGGAGGGGAAAAGGTGCGTTTTACACCCGTTCGGCTCGATCTCTCGCTCCGCTTTCTCCGTGCCAACCCCCAGGTCAACACGGAGCGGGTGGAGGTGGAATCCCGCGGTGTCAACCACGTGGAGGGCGGCTGGCCCAAAGACATCAACCCGCAGGAGGTGGAGCAAACCATCCGCTTCAGGAAGAAAGTGGAGAAAGATGAAAACTACATCAACACCATCACCCACCTCGGCGCCGTAAGGCCTGCCCATCCCCCCTCCTCACCTCCCTTGCCCGGTTCCCTCCCCAAAGGCTCTGCCTGCGCTTTCCCTGCAGCTGATGGAGCACTGCGTCAAGCAGAACAACGCCATCAACATCTACGAGGAGTACTTCGGAGAGGAGGAGGTGGCAGAGGTGGAAGACGAGCCCCCCTCCGCAAAAACCATCAATGTCATCAGGTAGCACAGCCAGCCGGGCTCGCCAGGCTCTCCAGATCCACAGGGCTCCTGCATCTTAAACTGCCTTTGGAGGCAGAGGAGGTGGAAAACCCAGGGGCTTTAGAATAGCGCCAGATCGGTTCATGGGTGGAGAGACCTGCTGCAGCCTCCCTGATCCCTAACTCCATCTGTCCCTCCTGCCCTGCCCAGGCACTTTGGCAATAGGTACCACAGTCCAAGGACAGACGCAGCTCTGAGCATCTTCTAACCCTGCTTTAGACAGGATGGGGTTTTATTTTTTATTGGTGCCTCGAAGATTATTTGAGGGGCTGTTAGGTCATTTCTAGAAGTCAGATCCAGTAACATTATTGGATTCTTAGAAATGTATAACTGGAAAGACTTTATTAAATCATCAACTCTTCTCCTCCCACCCAGCCCCCAAGAGAATCGTTTCCTGCACTCAATGCTCAAGGGCTGCAGCTTGTTTTAATTGCAATTACCACAGTTTCCTTTGGGAGACAGATATCCCACGGCGTGACAAAGCTGTTGGCAAACTAACATCTTTCTTTGATGTCCTGTTACCAAAAAGGGATCCAAACGTAACCAAGAGGACAGCTACGCATCTCTCCTGGCACCCCAACACATGCAAGAAACTGGCAGTGGCTTATTCCAGCCTGGAGTTCCAGCAAAACACGAAAGAGATGAGCTTTGACTCGTACATCTGGGATCTTGGTAAGGGGAAGTAAAAACTCACCAGCCAGTAATGCTGCAGCTGCAGAAGCACTTTGTGTTTTCAAAGCATGTAATGACGCCTCACAGCACTCCGGGGGGGTGAACAGGGGTTTGGCTTCTGCTTTGCCCGCGGATCAATGCAGAGCAGGGGAGAAATGGGGCCTGAAAGCTGGGCAACAGGTGGAAAATAACCACTAAAATCCCACTACCTGACCTCATGAGCTAGAGTGCTGGTGACCACAACAGGCAGCTGAGCCGCGCTCCTCTTATGTGGTTCCTGTGTTTACACGGTTCACTTGTGCTTGATTAAGAAAGAGGCAGCACAAGCCCAGGTTGAGAACTGCGCTGTTCTGTCAAAGACTCTGTTGTATTTTGGAGCAAAAAACACAAAGAAGAGGGGTCAGGGCACCAGGGGTCTGTCCCCTGGCTGGCAGGCGAGGACAGGTCCCTTCCCTGGCTAAGGTGAGGTGTCCTGGTGACGCCGCCAGCTCCTCCTCATCCAGCACGGCTGGGCAAGCGCCAGCGCGGCAGGGAGCCAGGCCTGGAAGAGTGGGGTGCGGTGTCGGGAGGCAGGTTTAGAGGCGGGGGTGCTCACCCTCTGGACTGCCTTTGCACTTTGCTCTTTACTCATCCCTTCTTGGCAGAAAACCCCAACAAGCCGGAGCTCGTTCTCAAGCCGTCATCCCCTCTCGTGAGCCTGGAATACAACCCCAAAGACTCACACATCCTGGTGGGAGGATGCTACAACGGGCAGATGGGTAAGGAAGATGGATTAGGCGTGAGGCCGTACTAACAAGGCTTCGTTTTAATTCGGCCAGAGCCTGGTTCCAGCACAAAAGCCATCACGTCATGAGTGCCGCAGCTGGGAATATCCCCAGCGCAGCCTGAAGCCGTGGGGCTTGGCGAGCGGAGGACAGGCGTGCGCTCACCTGAGCAGGTACCCAGGGAGGGGAGGACACCGTGCCGGGGAGCCCTGTGCAGTGAGGCGGCTGTGGCTGCAGCAAGAGCCCGGGAGGGATTGCTGGATCAGAGGCTGAGCAGGGCACGTGCTGTGCTCCTGCCTTGCCCACGGCCTTGTATCTTTGCATGGCAAAAGCCCAGGAGAGTTGCTGTTGCTTCATGCACTAAATTGTTCTTGTGCTATTGTTTCAAGTGCTTGGAAAAGGGCCTCTCTTTGCCAGCTTCATTTATGGCTCTGTTATTTACTTGGCCATGCGAGTCCTTTGATTTAATTGCTCTCATTTTGATGTTTTCCTTGCCGTTTGCAGCAGCAATCGGATCTGACAGGGCATGCATTACGGGGCTGTTACTGCACGCTCCGCAGGTGATGGAAGGGAGGGATCTCGCCCCGTCCTTCCCAGCGCTCCCCCGGCGCGTGGCACGGGCCCAGCGGAGCACACCCCGTCACATCCAATTGCCTAATTAAAGTGAGCGAGAGGGAGCGCGTGCGGCTCGGTGC